AGTCCCTTCTCTAAAGGAGCTTATGGTCTATTGGGAATATGATATAGACATAGATAACTAGAAAATACAACACACACAATAAGTACTTTTTGCATTAGTTTAGTGCTACAAAGAGCACACAAAATACTTTTGCACAAGGGGAGGGAAAGGCTAAGCTTTTGCATAATGCCTATTATATGCCAGGCACCATACTGGGTGCTTTGTACAAATATTATCTCATATGATCCTCACAACAACCCTTAGAGGTAGATACTGTTATTATCTCCATTTTATAGTTGAAGAAACTGAGGGAGACAGAGTTTAAGTGACTTGCCCAGGGTCACACAGCTAGTAAGTTTTTGAGGGTGGATTTGAACTCTGGCTTTCCTGACTCCAGGCCCGGCACTCTATCTACTGTACCACTAGCTACCTCTACATAAAACGTTTTGAATCAACTGTTAAAGGATATAAGATATTCTATTAACAGATGATGTCTGAAGAGAATAGAACAACTTTGGTTTAATAAAAATGGTTAAAATATATGTATGAAGATATATAGCTTTCAAATGGAATTGGAACAGTTTGGGGTGAGAAGAACATGTTGTATAAATATATCATCTAGTGAACAATGAAGGGTGATGGCCTTTGTATATATGAAAAATTTGGTAGCTTGAAGAAAGCAGAGAATTAACTTTTTCACTAAAAACCAGATAAAACTGAGAGAAACAGTTTCAAGAACCCAAAATAGGTTAGAGGACCATGTTGTGAACTTGGAGGCACAGAATGTCATGGTCCTTTGGCTCCTTTGCATGTACTTCTATGGCTAAATAAGATAAAACTAAAAGATAAAAATAATTCATAAAAAACATTTGAAGAATGAGCTATAATTTAAAAAGAATTATTGATGTCATAGGGGTCACTTGGGAAATTGTTACCTTTCAAGTAAAAGGTGAGTTACTGAGAGCTAGGAGGCTTTAATTTAAACCGCTGGAAGAGTTGGTGGAAATAGGAGGCTGAGCCTGAAGAGGGGAGCACTTGGCAAGTGAAGACTGAAGACCCTTCAGGGAGCTGGGAAAAGTTTGTTGGAATGGTTAAAGAGACCAGTGTCGAGCTCAGCTATGTGATGCTACGTGATTCCTGCTGGGCTGAATGAAAACTGCAGTTTTAGCTGTTGTCCTTCAGGGCTACCTGATACCTGAGAGAAATGAAACTTCTCCAAAGTACATAGTGCCCTTTTATGCCCCTTCTGGGTCAAGAGGAAAAAGCTGAAAGGGAAAAGATAAGTACTTTACCTGTTGTATAGGAAAAGCTGACTAGACTGCCTTGTGTCCAGAGAATCAACCTGAGCTGGTGAGTGTGTGTGGGGTGGGGGGATGAAAAGAGGAGAGAGAGAGAGATCTGTTCTTATTGGAATACAACATCTGGGTGTCTGGGTTGGTCTGTATAGCCCAGAGAGAGCCAGCCAGAAGAACCTGGAAGTGCTTTGGCTTAAAGGGAACTGATATTCATATTTTCTAAATGTCCTTTTTGGAATGGTAAGTTGAAAGAGCTTGTACATGCATTCACATGTAGAAGACAGGAGGATTTGTCCAACTAGAGAACAATGAGGACCTCCAGATAAACAAGTGGCAAAGAAACCATTTCACGTGCCGCAGATATTTCTCAGTGGGCTAATGACTTCAAATCCTGTAGTCCAAAATTATGAATTATTCCCAACACATGAATTTTCCTCCCTCGTGTACTTCCCTGCTAGGGTTCTGTATGTGTGTGCCCCATTCTTTTCTATATATTCTAACTGCACAGATGGGGGAATGTGACCTAGATTATATGTGGATTGTGATATATTTTATTATTTATGCATTTGATTTACTATATGTGTATTAACATATCTAGGACATTATTCCTTTTGTCTTATTACTGAGTAAATGATTATATTTGAGATCTAAAAGTGTCATTATTATGAGTGGAGTGTGTGTGTGTGTGTATGTGTGTATGTGTGTGTTTCAATGTAGCACTTGGTGCTTGGGTTTTTGATACTCACTGTAACCTGGCATGGTGTGTTAAATTTTTAGTAATTGTGTAAATAGAAATGTATCGATGGGGGCTCAAGAGCTATAGTGGTTAATAGGAGGGAGTTTATTTCCCTTCAGCCCAGTTATCTCTAGTATCTTGAGAGACCTGGGTTGTAACCATGTGATGGTGGTCTATCTTTGGGAACCTGGAACTCCTAGTATGAGAGCAAGTTGAAATGAAAATGAGTAGGTGCTTACATGCTGTGTGTGTGTGTGTGTGTGTGTGTGTGTGTGTTTGTGTGTGAGAGAAAGTATTGGGTTACATCATAGGAGTGGTCACACCACATACCTGTGAATTAGAGATGAATTAGAGAATTGTATTATTAAGTTAAATGCATTAATTAAATTGAATTCAATGCATCAGAGAATTGAAAAACAAAGTGTCTTGTAAAGTCCAAGGAAGAAGGTCACTACCTACTGGGGAGACCAGGGAAGACTTTTGGAAGAAGCAGTATTTTCTTGGAACTTGAAAGAATGAGTGAGAATTCAGCTGGTGAATATGGGGAGAAAGGGCACTCTAGGTACAGAAGAGAGTCTGAGAGGAGGAGGAGCAGAAAGTATGGAGGGAGTGTCCAGGAGGCAGAATGTAGACCAGTTTGGTTACTATACAGAGTGCATATAGACTAGTAATATTAATTGACTGAAAAGGTAGAGTGTCCCAAGAATGAGGAGGGTCTTTAATGGCAGGCAATGGGGAGCCACTGAGAATTCTTGAACAGAGAAGTGACACGACTAGATCTGTGTGTGAGAAAAATGATTCTGACAACAGTAAGAAGAGTAGATTGGAGAGGACTAAAGGTAAGATGACCTACAAAGAAGCTATTGCAGTAATCTAAGGGGGATTGTATTGAGGGCTTGTACTAGGGCAGTAATAGTAGGAGTAGAAAAGAAGAGATGGATGCAAGAGATATTGTAGAAATTAATAATTGATTAGATAGAAAATATGAGGGAGAGAAAAACAATATGAAGGATGGAGGCCAAAATAAACCCAAGTTTGCAAACGTGGCAAAGCAGGTAAGTGGTAGCTTTGCAGACAGAAATAGTGAAGTCAGAAGCAATAATATATTGGGGGGAAGATAATGATTTTTAGACATGTCACGTTCAAGGTCTCAATAGAGCATTCAGATGGTGTCCTGTAATATTAATAATAGTAATATCTGACATTTCTACAATGCTTTAAGGTTTATGAAGTCCTTTACCAATATTATCTCCTTTTATCCTCACAACAACCATAGGAGGTATGTGCTATTATTATCTTCACTTTACAGATGAGAAAACTGAGGCAGAAAGAGATTGAATGATTTGTCCAGGGTCACATATCTGTAGACATCTGAAGATGGGGGGCAATAGTCAAGAAGAGAAAATAGGGCTAAAAATAAAGAACTGAAGTAATCTGCATGAAAATAGTCATTTAAGTCATTGGATAAATGAGATTGCCAAGGGAGAGAGTTTAGAGAGAATAAAAGGGCCAAGGACATCCCTTTGGGGAACACCCACTACTTCCTCTCATGAACTCGCTACTTAAACTAAACTGGACAACATGTTCCCAAAACATGCTTTTTCCTTCTACCCCCCCCTTTTTTAAAAATTCCAAATAAGGACTTTATTCCTTATTTGAAGAAAACTAAATAGTCAACTCACTCTCATGAGCAGCTTACATGAAATGAGAATATTGTATATCTGTTTTACAACTTTTGTCTGAAAGGTTGCATCTCATGTTTTCTGATAGAGAATGCTCTGATCTTCTGGATTAAGAAGCAGACATATAAAGTGTTGTAGCCCCTTCTCCAAAGTGAGTCAACAGTGGAGCTGCCAATGTAAGCTCCGTATCCTGAGTCCTTGTCCGTTATTCCGTTCATTCATCATAAACTGCTGGTCTCTACCATCAGCCACAATGTAATTTCCCTTTTTGCTTTTTACCCTTTAGAGTTCCCCCATCATATGGCCCACACACTATGGAGCATTACCAAATCAGATTGTCAGAGCACACATTTTCGTCAGTGAGTGTATGATTCACCCCCTAGAAACAATGAATCAGCCAAAATTCAAACTCGAAAATGCCTCTTGTTTTCTAGATATGTTAATGTAGATCAAATGAATCCCTTTTTTTTCCATTTTCTTTTCTAATGGAAAATTTCTTAAGTTGTATAAGAACAGTGGAATGATGCTATATGTTATTCAAAAGAAACTCTGAATACCTATTGCATTTTCAGATTAGGAACATGAATGGAGATTAAGATTGACTTCCTATAAAATATCATTGAACATTTTTTGAAAATAAGAATGCTTTTCTTTCATTCAATTTCTTGTGGTTTAATTGATGAGAAATCATATAGCCTGTGAATTCTCTGATTTTTTTTTGTTTTATCAAATTGTACAGTAAAAAATTAATGGTAAATTGGTAAAAAAAAAAGTAGAATCTCATTTTTATGATTGTACAAATATATGTATATACTTATAGGTAACTAGACATAATATATACATTTTTTAACTTAGTTCCAGTCTCTGTGTCTATAGTAAATCCTATTTCTTCTTTTCTTCCTATCCTTTCTTGTCAACTTTGATAGTTTTAACAAACAGAATGTTAGGGTCAACATGTCAGAAATGGTATTTAAAATACATTTGAGAGAATAGTTTTGAGATTATTTGAATTATCAAGCTGGCAAATTATTTTAATTAACAAGGTTTTAATTGACTTAGATATTACTAAACACTTTTAGAATAAACTCAAATTTTGCAAGGGCAGAAGAGAAAAATTTTGTACCCTCCATTTCCCAGAAATGCCTTGGAAGGGGCCGGTTTCATAAACAAACTTGCTGCTTAGAAGTTTTTATGCTTCAAAGTTAAAATAAGAGTATACTGATATTCACAAGTGGGTTTTTCAGTGTTATTTTTTCCCCTACTCTTAAATTCCTCTCACTTTTCTCTCCCCTCCCCCCTCCCTTCTAGGTAATCCTTATACTTCCTTCACATGGAGGGTGTGAAGAATTTACAGTTGGGTCTTTGCAAAGCAGGCTTGTGACACTTGCCACCCAGGGTGTCAGTAAAGGCGAGTTACCCTTCCTGGAAGAACTTTGAATGAGATGCAAAGAGACCCTGGGAACTTGACCAGTCAAACTTAGAAGTATGAAGAGAATGTAGTGGGAGGAAGTGGAGGCCGTGAGTCAGCATGAGTCATTCTGTTCCAATGAGAATGAAGGCTGACTGAGAGGTGTGTATATCTTTTTTTGGTTTGGGTTTTGGGTTTTTTTTTCTTCGTCTTAATCTTTGGAACATCATTGGTGAATGGAGGAAAAAAATAAGTGATTTTGCCTATATGCTTGGTGCTTTTCAGGTATTAAGTTCTCACTTCAATGAAACTTTGCATGAATACATAAATGTGACTTTTATCCCCCTAGGCATCCTGTTCTCAAGGAGGTGGAGCAACCAACTTCTCCTTGGTGAGTATGTCTCTAGCATTTTAATGATTTCTGCAGTTTGCCCGAGTGTCTGAGCTGGGTTAGAGCTGCTGCTGCACCCTGGGCAGGCTTAAAAGCTTTGATATTTTAGGAGAACGTCAACTCCTTTTCCCCACTGTTAATATAGTCAGACTATTTGTCAAACTAGCTATTGGGGGAATTTCTCAAGGAATCAATGGACAGAATTTAGGCATTGATGATCTGTCATGGTGGGTTTGGTTAATTCACTATCCCTTTCCTTGGAATTAAACTGACTAAGGACCTTTCGCTTGGAAAGTTAAAGATTCATAACAGGCGGTTTGAATTTACCTAGCAACAGAATATCCAAGCTGGCTTTATTTTGGTTTTATGGAGCACTTAGGGAAGGAAGTTCAACTCTGGACAATTTCTGTTCTTTGCTGAGCACAAAATGGAAATGAATGATCAGAAAGTTTCCTTCAGTTTCTTTAGTTCAACCATGTGAATGTTTGCCTTTACGGTCTTTACATTTTTCTAGTCATGGTACAATCAGAGGAGAAGAATCTGGAGGAGGGAGGAGAGAAGGGAACCATGGCTGTGCAATTAAGAAAAGTCATACAATTTAATCAACCTGAAATTAAGAGTTTTTTACATGGATTTCTCCTGAGGTTGCTGTTTCTTAGGTTGTAACTATACTGATCAATCGACATCTTTAAAGTACAACACAGGAAATTTTTTTTTCAGAGCTCTAGTTACTGTAAGTGAAACGGTTAAATGTCACTACGTATCATATGATAAACATTTTGGGAAATTTGCTTTTGTTTAAAAAAAACACAGCAAGTAGGGCAAGATGGGTAAAATGCTACAGTAGTTTTTTTTTTCAGTAGAATCATTCGAGTGTGTGGGCTCTCTGGGTTAAAAATGAGTCAGCACTTTAGTTTTCATCTGATTGCTTCAGGAGAGATTAAATCTGCCCCCCGAGAAAAGAGCATGATGGTTGAAGGAAGGTACTATAAGGAGTATGGGACTATTCCAGTGATCTCCATTTCTAATGAACTCCATGCGGCTGGACCACTAGGCATTCTTGGCAGTTCATGCTTTGATCAGATGAGTAGCTTGGTACTGGGGACTAAGAATGTTTCACATTATTGGGGTAGCTTTGTGGTCTTCATCAAACATGGTTTGTTTCTGCAGTCTTTCCTTCTATATAGGTATGGATAGTGGTTGTTTTCAGCTTCCATTGTAGGGGAGAATGGCTTCAAAAAGAGGGGAATTGAGTTTTTTTCAAACCATTATTCTGACCTTAACAGGCAGTAGGTTCCCAAAAAGAACTGCCCTTTGGCCGAAGTCAAGCTGGGCCTCTAGTTATTCTGCCACTCATATCAAGGATGCAGACTATGACCTCAAAGAGGTATTGACTTCTAGCATTTAAACTTGGAAGCAGGCAGGTTCAAACTTGCTTGTCTTACATAGCCCCTCTGGGCTTAGAACCTGGTTGCCAGAGTTGGTTTTATGTCACTGAGTAGTGGAATAATCTTTGGACCTTAGTTTTCTCATATGTGAAATGGGGATGATAGTACATGATCCACTAATGATCTCTTAACTACCTGATAGGGTAGAGAGGTTGTATAGATAAATGAAATTGTATATTAATGTAAATGCACCTACAGTTACAGATTTCTATCTCTACCTATATATCTGAAGAACGGCTTTAGAGATATATGTTGTATAATTTCATTATAATACAGTAGTAATTGTGTCAAGTCTTAAGTCAGAGGAAGGAAAATTTGTATCTGACATTTCTGGAGGGCATTTGTATGAGATTCAGAAACATTTGTTTGCCTAGCATGGTAAGAAAGGATGAGAGAGATGTACTTTCTTTTTCTTGTTTTGTTTCTTTTCCATCAAATCGCTCCACTGGTGATCTTGGAAATGTCATCTTTTATGATGAATATTATTATCACCAACAATAAGAATAGCTTATGTTTGCATTGTGCATTACAGCTGTCAGGGTACTTTCCCATTCATTATCTTATTTAATTGAAAGAAGAATCATTTGTTAAATCTTGAAGGCAGTTCAGCTAGCGGCTGTTTTAATTGAATACTTCCTTAGAATATACTTTTCTTGAGCTTCTGCTTTGAGGCATGTACTTGTTTAAGAATATTCTGTTACATAATTTTTCATTTCTCTAGTTTAGTGTTGCGGTGAGAGGTAACTTTTACGTGGGCAGTGATTATCCCTGAAACAAACTCGTCTTTGCAGCAGTTAGAAGGATGATGTAGGCAAGCCTTTTATTTATGAGAGTTTCTGGCCTTGGAATTTTGGTTCCAAGTATAGAGGAGATATCCCTCTGTGTCTTTCCAGGCAAAGGCCAATGGAGGCATAAAAGTCAGGCTTCTTTTAGAACTTTGCAGTCCTTGAGTGGATATTTTGGAAACAAAAATCCAGCATAGGAAACATGAACAACCCTGTCCCTCATCTGGAAACAAATTCTTCTGTGGCATAAGCTACTCTCCTTTTTTTTTTTTTTTAAATCTCATTATGTTTTTTTAATATGGAAAACCTCATGGTGTTTTGGATAGAGTGCTGGATCTGGAGGCAGGAAAAGCCTAAACTCAGCCACCCCATGGGCGAGTTTCATCTGTAAAGTGGGGATAAAAATATCCAGAATACCTATCTCACAAAATTCTTGTGAAACTCAGATGAGCTAATGCTTGGTAAAGATTTTATAAATGTCAGGTTAGTGTTGTCATTTTAAACTCAGGAAGAGATGTAAACTCTTTTCCCACAGGGTAAACACTGTAAAGAGAAATGAGTATGGTCTAGTGGCTGTTAGTACTTTCCTTGGGAATACGCAAAGATCAATATCAGCAGTGTTCCAGTTTTGCTTCTGAAGTCCCAGTGTAAACTGGGATAGACACATCATATTAGGCGGCTAGGCGGTGCAGTAGCGGACTTGGAATCAGGAAGATGTCAGTTCACATCCTGCATGAGATATGTACTAGCTGTGTGAACCTGGGCAAGCCATTTAATCTCTGGCTGCCTCAGTTTTCTCAGGGTTGTTGTGAGGATCAAATGAGATAATAATTGTAAAGTATTTTGCAAACCATCATGTGCTCTATAAACACTAGATATTATTATTATTGTTATTATTAATCATTGATCCCCTCTATCACTTAATCTTTTGAACGAGCAGGATAAAACTTCTCACCATTACCAGAGTTTGGGGAGTTCATGATGAGGTCCTGTCTCTCAAGTGCTTTAAATACCTTGGAAAAAAGGCATTCTAAGGCCAGAAATGAGTTCAATTTAATTTTGCATTAATTATCACATATTATCCTATTGCACCAATGTTATTTAAAAATATGCTCACCCTTTGCTAAGGGTCCCAGTCCAATTCAGTTTTGAATATTGGGAGGAAACTACAAATATTTGCATGAAACGAAGGCCAGTTTTTGTAGCCCATGCCAGGAATTTAAAATATTTTTTATGGTCAGAATTTTTTGCTCTTCAGTTTTAATAGTCATCTTGTTGTTCTCCCTTTCTTGGCAGCCAAGCAAGCTAATGCAATCCTAGACTGCATAAAGAGAGGCATAGTTTCCTGGACTTGGTTGGTAATAATAACTCCCTGCACAGAAATCTGGAGTCTCATATTAAATTCTCGGTGCAACATTTTCTAAAGGACAGTGATCAGCTGGAGAGTGTCTGAGAACGACCAAGATGGCAAAGTGCTTTGACACCCTGCTACATGACAATTATTTGAAGGAACCTGGGACATATTATATGGACTATAGAAGACTTAGGGGAATGTGATAATTGTCTTCAAGTGTATTAAGGGCTGTCTTATGGAAGAGGAATTAGCTTATTCTACTTGGCCCCAAAAGCTAGACCTAGGAGTAGTGGCTTAGGAGTTGCAAAGAGTTAGATTTATTGTTGTTTTTGTCCTGATTCTTTGTGACCCCTTGTGGGGTTTTCTGGGCAAAGATACTGGAGTGGTTTGACATTTCCTTCACCAGCTCATTTCACAAATGAGGAAACTGAGGCAAACAGGGTTAAGTGACTTGCCCAGGGTCATACAAGCTTCTAAGTGTCTGAGTCCAGATTTGAATTCAGGAAGATGAGTCTTCCTGATTCTAAGCCCAGTGCTCTATCTACTGTGCCACTTTAATGTACAGAAAAACTATCTGATTTTTAGAATTATTCCCAAAGTAGATGGGGTTGCCTTGGGAAGTCCTGGGTTCTAGTGCTTAGCTTAGTATATAGTAGGTGCCTAACAAATGCTTATTGACTGGAGTTAACTTTCCCCTAGTAGAAGTCCTCCAGAAGAGACTGGGTGTCTACTTGTCAGGGCTGCTATGGATAAAATTTTTAGCCAGGTGTGAGTTACGCTAGATGGTCTATGGGGCCATTGCCCCTCTATGACTCTGGAAACTTTCTCCCATCCAATTTTTCCCTTGCATTCAGTCCTACACCCCTTGGCTCCATTTGTAAGTCAAGGTAAAATAATCCAGATCAGGTTTTAAACTAATTAATAGGCTACATTAGAACCGAAGTAAGATGTGGGATTCATTCAGTTCATTTAATATTATATTAGAAATCAGTAGATGTGTGTGTGTGTTTTATACAGGATCTGTGGTTTTATTGGCACAGGAAATTCTTGCTAAAGAGACTCCTTCCCCCTAAAAAAGTTGTTCACTATAAAATCTTAGAGAGTTGCCTAAGGCATTGAGAGGTTAAGTGACTTGCCCAGGGTCACACAGCTAGCAGTAGAGTGAGGAAGAAAATGCAAGTACATCACTCCAAGATCTGGTTCCTTTGCTATGACTATACATCACACTATCTTGAAGACAGCAAAAACCACCAAATGATCTTTTACCCTTGAGAAGAGTTTGAGCTCTGTAAAATGTTGCTTAATGTAGAAAATCAATGAACAAAACAAGTTCTTAGGTGAGAAGCAAAGTAGGAAGAGGGGCAGACAGACAGTGAACCCACTCTGTAAGTATTTCCTGATGTGAGATGGTGA